ATATATAAATTAGTTGTCTCCCATGCATGTCTGATGATGTGCAAAGTCTTTTGGGAAGAAATGATATAAACTGACTCTTGATGAAGTAGTAAGATTCAGAAACACAAAGATGAAAGAAAAGAAAAACTAAGTGCAATTAATTGTAAGAGAATATAAAGAAGTCGGAAAAGTATATCCTATTTGAAAATCATAAAGAATTTAATTTGACAAAAATAGAGTATGTAAAATAATACTGTTGCTAACATTATCAGTGAGTTAATGTGTAAGTTAAGTTTACCTATTGTTTTTATTTTTTTATGCTTAAACATTCATTTTTATTGTGACTTTTTGTTTTAACAGTTTGAAACAGCATATGGAGAATGGTAAGGGCTTTTCTGCTTTTTTTTACTGTTTATTTTTCATGTTAAAATTATTGATAATTATTCTGCTCTAGAACAAAGTTTTCCTTCAAACATTAGATTAAAAGTAGGATTTTCCACTCAGATATTAAAATGTATCTTTAAAAATAAGCGTTAAAACAGAATTATTCTGATTCAAGAACTAAATGAGTGGATCTTAGAAGAGAAAACACAAAAATAGACCTAATTAAGTGAGTAATTTAGTATATCATGTAATTTGCATTATTTAGGAAATGATGCTGTGACAATATTTAACTTTTTTAAAACTTGAAATATTATTTCACATTATTCAACAAAAATATTTTTAAAATGAAAATTAAAACTTACAGAAGGGAATTTAATGACTATTTTCCTGACATAAAAATAGGAAGGCTTTCTTAAATAAGTAGGGGAATACCCAAACCCACTGCTGTAGAGTTGTATCCCATGCATGGCGACCCCTCCTTGGGTTTCCAAGGCGGTATCACTATGGAAGTAGATTGCTACCAGAGTATGATCAAATACTGTGTAGCCATTGAAAATATTTCCAGAAAAAACAAACTCATGGCCGCTGAGTCGGATCCAACTCCATGCGACTCCTCTTGGGTTTCCAAGGTGGTATCACTAGAGAAGTAGTTTGCCCACTCTTCCTTCTGAGGAGTGGCTGGTGGATTGAACTGCTAGCCTTCTGGTTAGTAGTGAAATGCCTTAGGCACTATGGCACCAGAGCTCCCTGAAAACATTTAAAGGTGATCAAATTCACATGAAATAATATTATGTGACTAAGGCAAGATGCAAAATATTATAACTTTAACTTTATCTAAATTTAAATATCACTAGAAGATCTTGGTCTATAGTATCTATGAAAAGAGTAAATGAATATGGGCAATTTAATATTATGTTAATTGTATGCATATAATTTTCTTTAATTAGTACTACTTATGTATTATAGTTTTATTAAAATAATAATAATAATAATAATAATAAAACCCTCTGGTTTATTATTGATACTGATTTTCTCTGATAAGAAAAAAAGAGCCTAATGTTTATTGTGATTTAGGTGAAGTTTACAGAGCAAATTGGTTTGACATTCAATGATTCATACACATTTTGCTCTGTGACATTCATTGCAATCCCCAGGATGTAACAGTACTTTTCTCACTTCCTCCCTGTTTTTATCATTTCCCTTCATCCTTCTTTCTATTCCTTCCTGTCTTCTGTGCTTTACCCTTGGGCAAATGCTGCCCTCTTGATCATATGGTTGTTTTTTCTGATGACTGCATATCTCCCTGGTATTATCATTCATCTTATAGGCTTATCTATCTTTTGGCTGAAAGTTGAGCACTGGGGTGAATTCAATTACAGGCTTGAAGGGTGTCTAAAGGTCATAATCTTGGGAGTTCCACCAGTCACTCTTAGATCAGTAAGCCTGTTCTTTTTTATAATTTTGAGTTTTGTTCCACATTTTTCTCCCACTCTATCAACAACTTTCCATTATGATCCCTTTCAGAATGGTCAGCAGTGGTAGCCAGGCCCTATCTAGTTCTTATGGTCTCAGGGTAGTGGAGGCTAGGGTTCACATGGTCCATTAGGTCTTTGGACTAATTGTTTCCCTGCGTCTTTGATTATCTTCACTCTTCTTTGCTCTGGACAGCAAAACTCCTCTTTGCTCTGAAGAGATCAATAACTGCACTCTATGCACTCTAGATGGCAGCTCACAAGCTTTTAATACCCCAGTCATTACTCATCAAAGTAGGATGTAGAATATTGTCTTTGTGGACTATGTTATACCAATTGAACTTAGCATTCCTCTAGACTATGGCCCTGTGCCCCAGGCCCAGAAACTCATTCCTTCAAGGTTTTTGGTTATAACTAAGAAATTTTCATGACATTGCCTGTTGTATGCTCTATTAAATTTATAGATGTATTTGCAGAATATATAAAAATACATATGTAGAAATATTCTCTTTCAAACCTATGTATATTTGTGAGTGTAGTCCCTTTCACCTTCCTAATTTTATTCAGCTTAAGTGTCTATTTATATTCTACTCATAGATTATTTTTATTACTTTTACTGCACGATTGAATATGTAATAGTATTTACGTTTGTTGCTTTATGAATAGCAATGAAACACTGTCTAATATATTATTGGACAACTTTATGAATAGCTCTGAAACATTGTCCAATACAGGGCCAAAAGATGTGCCCCTCAGGTCAGAGGGCATTCAAAATACCACTGGGAAAGAGCTGCCTCATCAGAGTATAATAGACCTTAATTATATAGATAAAGTAGAGCTTTGAGGATCTTCATTAGCTGACATGTCACAACTCAAAATGAAAAGAAACAGCCACAAGCATCCATTAATAATTGGAACATGGAATGTACGAAGTATGAATCTAGTAAAATTGGAAGTTGTCAAAAATGAAATGGAACACATACAGATTGATATCCTAGGCATTAGTGAGATGAAATGGACTAGTTTTAGCCATTTTGAATCAGACGACCATATGATCTACTATGCCGAGAATGACAAGTTGAAGAGGAATGGTGTGACATTCATTGTCACAAAGAATGTTTCAAGATCTATCCTGAAATGCAGTGCTGTCAGTGATAGTATAATATCCATACACCTACAAGGAAGACCAGTTAATACTACTATTGTTAAAACTTACACACCAACCACCAAAGCCAATGATGAAGAAATTGAAAATTTTTACCAAATTCTGCAGTCTGAAATTGATGAAACATACAATCAAGATGTCCTGATTATCCCTGGTGATTGGAATGCAAAAGTTGGAAACAAAGAAGAATCACTAGTAGTTGGAAACTTTGGCCTTGGTGATAGAAATAATGCTGGAGATTGCATGATAGAATTTTGCAAGACCAATGACTTATTCATTGAAAATACCTTTTTTCAACAACACAAATGGCAGCTATAGATGTGGACTTCACCAGATGGAGTACACAGGAATCAGACTGACCACATCTATGGCAAGAGACAATGGAAAAGTCCAGTATCTTCAGCCCAAACAAGGCCAGGAGCTGATTGTGGAACAGACCATCAATTGCTAATGTACAAGTTCAAGTTGAAGTTAAAAACAACTAAAGCAATTCCACAGGAGCCAAAATATGACCTTGATAACATCTCTCCTGAATTTAGAGACCATCTTAACAATAGATTTGATGCACTGAACACCAATGACCGAAAACCAGAAGAATTGTGGGATGACATCAAAAACATCATCCATGAAGAAAACAAGAGGTCATTAAAAAGACAGGAAAGGAAGAACAGACAAAAACTGACATCAGAAGAGACTCTGAAACTTGCCCTTAAGCAGAGAGTAGCAAAAGCAAATGGAAGAAATGACAAGATAAAAGAGCTGAACAGAAAATTTTAAAGAGCAGCTTGAGAAGACAAAGCCAACTATTATAATGAAATGTGCAAAGACCTTGAGTTAGAAAACCAAAAGGGAAGAACATACTCAGCATTATTCAAGCTGAAAGAACTGAAGAAAAAAATTAAGCCTTGAGTTGCAATATTGAAAGGTTCTATGGGCAAAATATTGAATGAGGCAGGAAACATCAAAAGAAGATGGAAGGAATACAGAATCATTGTACCAAAAAGAATTGCTGATGCTCATCCATTTAAGGAGGTGGTATATGATAAAGAACCAATGGTATTGAAGAAAAAAGTCAAGACTGCACTGAAAGAATTAGAAAAGAACAAGGCTCCAGGAATTGATGGAATACCCACTGAGATGTTTCAACAAACGGATGCCCCACTGGAGGCACTCACTGGGCTATGCCAAGAGGTTTGGAAGACAGCTACCTGGCCAAATTACTGGAAAAGATCCGTATTTGTACCCATTCCAAAGAAAGATGATCCCACAGAATGTGGAAATTATCGAACAATATTAATATCTGTTCTGGTTACCTAGTGCTGCTCTGACAAGACTATGTACCACAAATGGGATGGCTTGACAAACAGGAGTTTATTCTCTTACAGTTTGGGAGGCTAGAATTCTGAGTTCAAAATGCCAGGCTCTAGCGGCTGTGTGAAAGCCCCTCGGCCTTGGGCTTCAACTCTGCCTCTTGCTCCCAGCCCACTGAAGCTAGAGACATCTCTTCACTCAGATGACAAATAAAATGGCACAGTCCTGATGTTACTAAACCACACAGTAGGCCATTAATTCAAGTCCATTGAAAGTCCCAAGATCAGCAGAACATGGCAGGCTGCTGAACAATGACTTGGCTACATGCCGTATTCAAGAGTGCTATAAGATAGAGACCATTCCCAAAGCTGTTTCTTATATATGGGAAGCATAGCACATATCCAAAGGCAGCTACTCAGCTGCTCACAGTACATTCCACCATGGAGTTGACTACCAGTCTCATCATGGGGAATGCTACATTCAGGTGCCCAGCCATTCAACCAGGCCCAGCCAAGTTGACACACAACTTAACCACTACAATATTATATGAAAGTGAAATCTTACTGAAGATAATTCAAATATGGTTGCAGCAGTATATTGACAGAGAGCTTCCAGAAATGCCGGCTGGATTCAGAAGAGAATGTGGAATGTGGGATTTCGTTGCTGATGTCTGGTGGATCTTAGCATAAAACAAAGAATACCAGAAAGATGTTTACTTATGTTTTATTGACTATGCAAAAGAGTTCGATTGTGTGAGTCATAAGAAGTTATGGATAACATTGAGAAGAATGGGAATTCCAGAACACTTGATTGTGCTCACGAGGAACCTGTCCATAGATCAGGAGGCTGTTGTTTGAACAGAACAAAGGGGTACTGCATAGTTTAAAATCAGGAAGGGGGTGTGTCAGGCTTGTGCCCTTTCACCATACTTGTTCAATTTGTATGCTGAACAAATAATCCAAGAAGCTGGATTAGATGAAGAAGAACATGGCATCAGGATTGGAGGAAGGCTCATTACTGACATGTGATACACAGATGGCACAGCTTTGCT